AAAAAAAAAAAAAAAAGAAAAAGAAAAATATCCAGTGAAATAGGAGAAACTAGGAAGAGTCACAGAAAGAATAAGAGGATATTAGCTTTTGGTTTTTTACAATGCATGTTACATTTTGTCAATGAATTGAAAAAAGGGGGCTGGGGATTTAGCTCAGCAGCACAGTGCCTGCCTGGCAAGCGTGAGGTCATGAGTTCAATTCCTGGTACCGGAAGAAAAACAAAAAACAAACAACAACAAAAAAACAATGAATTAATAAAAATGCCTTTATAGGGTAGAAATTCATTAATTTCAATTCTTTATATTAGGATCTTGCTGAAATTACTTGTGGTTATGCAAATATTTTACAAGATAATGCAAGTAAGGGAAACGAGATAAAAAATACACATCAAGTGCTTAGTCAGCTTTTTAGGGACCTTCAAGCATATTCAGCGAATCCACTTATGAAAAGCTAGGTATAAACTACACATTAGTCCTTTCTTAATCATTCTCAGCATAGGTTTCAAGGCCATCAGTTACAATTACTTTGCTGGTTGTTTGTTTAAAACCCTAAACCAGTCCGGATGGTACCTAGATCCACACTGATCTGACTTTAGCTGTTATATGAATTCAAACTCCTGCCCTATCAAACTGCTGTCCTTTTCTCTCTCATAGTGCAAGTACAAAGAGGCTTACGAGAAAGCCAGAGGCAAGCAGATTGGATTTCTCAGTCTTCAGGATGACCCTAAGCTGGTTCACTACATGAATGTAGCGAAAATACAATCAGATCGTGAGTACAAGAAAGGGTACGAAGCCAGCAAGACCCGGTACCACACGCCTTTGGACATGTTTAGTGTGACCGCTGCCAAGAGGGCGCAGGAGGTTGCCACCAACACCAACTACAGACAGCCCTTCCACGGCTACACGCTCCTGCCGGACGCCTTGGGTGTGGAGCACTCCAGGAACGCCATGCAGATTCAGAGCGACGTAGGTTCCGCACAGGCTGCACGCAGAGTCCGGCATTTGTTTGTGTGGGTGGGAGGGAAGTGGAGAGCTGCCTGCTCCATCCTAAACCTGGCTCCCTGCTCTCCAGAGATCTGAAGAGTCAAGTTTTAGGACTTCATTTGTTTGAACAACATGTGAATATAAATGTGCACATATTTTAAACTTGGGAGCATATGATATAGTGTATGAAAATTTCAAAAGGTTAAGTATGTGATATATAATAACTTCCTAATGGAAAATTTGTTAACTTGCATTTCTTTCCTTAAAGAAATTCAATTTTTTGGCTGGGCATGGTGGCGCACGCCTGTAATCCCAGCACTCGGGAGGCTGAGGCAGGAGGATTGCTGCAAGTTTGAGGCCAGCCTGGGCTACAAAATGAGTTTGAGGCCAGCCTGAACTGCACAGTGAAACATGGTCTCAAAAAGACAAAAAAAAAAAAAAAAAAAGGCAATTGTTAAAGGAATTGTTAGAATTTTTTTATCTAAAACCACCACGTATACCATCATTTTCATAATCGTGATTTTTCTAAAAGCCCACAGAGAGTGCAAGGCGGGCTTTCTCTTCCTCCTTCTGCACTCGCCCCTCCTTCCTCCTGGATGATGAGTCATGTAGCCAGAGAAACTCAAGCCTTGCCCCTTTCTGGAGTGAAAATTCCTTTCTCGTTGTACAGAACCTCTACAAATCCGACTTCACCAACTGGATGAAAGGGATCGGCTGGGTCCCCATAGAGTCCTTGGAGGTGGAGAAGGCCAAGAAGGCGGGAGAGATTCTGAGTGAGAAGAAGTACCGCCAGCACCCCGAGAAGCTGAAGTTCACGTACGCCATGGACACAATGGAGCAGGCCCTGAACAAGAGTAACAAACTGAATATGGACAAGGTACAGCCGCCCGGCCGCCCCGCCAGGGCCCCCCGCGCACGCGGCCAGCAGGCCCGGCCCTGGCCTGCAGACTCCTTCGGCGTTCTCTTCTTCCTGGCGGCCACGCTGGTGGCCGCAGTGCTGGGAGGTCCAGTGTGCTTAGCGCTCTCTCTTACGCTGACTTTCGGCCATCTCTCCACCCCACACTAAGTGCAGTGTAACTACAGCTCCACACAGTGCTGCAGCGGGGGCCAAACAGCAGAGTTTGTTGCAGCGGGAGAGGGCTGCCTTATTGACTGTTCTTCCCGCTGTGTATTTGTTGTCCTCAGCCATTTTCCCATCTCCTCCATTTTCTAGTATCCGATTTAACCTCCTTCACCACAGAGATGAGAATCTCTGTTTCCTGTTAGTATGACGACAGACTGGCTCTGCTCTCAATCCCCTGCGTGACTTTCTTTTTGTAGAGACGCTACACTGAAAAATGGAACAAAGATAAGGCTACCATTCATGTCATGCCTGATACTCCAGACATTTTACTCTCCAGAGCAAACCAGATCACCATGAGTGATGTAAGTAGATCCGCAACAGAAGGTAGGGGAGAAGGTGGAGGGAACGAGTGCTTAGGAAATTGTCTTCTGCCTGACAGCCGCATTGGAGTCAGGTTCCCCGTTCAAGCCCAAGTCATGAAATGCTGCTTGTTTTCTGTTTCGTTATTTAGAAACTCTACAGAGCTGGCTGGGAAGAAGAAAAGAAGAAAGGCTACGACCTGAGGCCTGATGCCATCCCAATAAAGGCTGCGAGAGCCTCTAGAGACATCGCCAGTGACGTAAGCCCGTCCCCAGTCCTTCTTTAGGCGGTGCAAGGACAGCACGTGAGCCAAGCTTGTGTGTATTCGGGAGCCGGGGTCAGCTCCAGTCCGTCTGGGGGACATCAGGCCGCATAACCCACAAAATACCTCCCTTCACCCTCCAGTCAAGCCCAGGGGCCCTCTAATCGTATGTTCATTATTCAGTGTAAAAAGTGACCCGGTTTTGTTTTAGTAAGCTGATTTTTGAGTTTTGAAACCATGTGCAGACAGTTCTGCACAAATGTAAGGATGCAGTCTACACAGTTTACCCAGGACTACAACCAGGCCCCTTACTCACTCTAAAGAGGCACAATCGGCAGTCACGCCTGCAGCCTGTTCTGTGTTTAGATATTTGGGTAGAAAGAACCGCTTCCTCCATCGCCCTACACCAACTTATTTTTGTGTCTCTTTAACTCTGAGATTATTTTCTTTCCATGGACTCAAATACAGGGCACAATTGGAAGCATAAAGCCTTTTCCCTGGCTCTGGTGACCCCTCCCTGCCTAATTCTACTTTTTTTTTGTCTTTTTTTCTGGTACCAGGAATCGAACTCATGTCCTTGCGCTTGCCAGGCAGGCGCTTTGCCTCTGAGCTAAATCCCCAGCCCCCTCCCTGCCTAATTCTAGAGGAACCCAGGACTCCTTTACCAAGGCACCAAAGCCAGTGGCACCTAGTGAGTGATATTTGCTGGCTTTCCTTCTCCATTTCTATTGTTGTGTTTTCCGTTCTGTCTACAGTACAAATACAAGCAAGCCTATGAGCAAGCCAAAGGGAAGCACATCGGCTTCCGGAGCCTGGAGGACGACCCGAAGTTGGTGCACTTCATGCAGGTGGCCAAGATGCAGTCAGACCGGGAATACAAGAAGGGATACGAGAAATCCAAGACATCGTTCCACACCCCGGTGGACATGGTCAGCGTGGTGGCAGCCAAAAAGTCTCAGGAAGTGGCCACCAATGCCAACTACAGGAACATCATTCATACCTACAACATGCTCCCTGATGCCATGAGCTTTGAGCTGGCCAAGAATATGATGCAGATTCAGAGTGATGTAGGTGAAAGCTACAACGTTTAAGCAAATCATCAGTGACGCAGTAATGACATTTCAAAAGTCCTGAAAGAAATTCAGGGGCAGCTTCCTGGTTATGGTGTTCTACTCACTGCCTTACATAGAATTTAACTCTAAGAAAAGCAGATCTATGCAGGAAACTAAAGTCTTCCTTTCCACTTTAGTTTCTGTGAGCTGTTGTTGGATTTTGAATACAGCAACAAGTAAATGAAACTTGGTTTCAGGGAGGAGGTACTGAGGGACAGAAGTCTAGCAGAGGGGATCGGGTGATGAAAGGCTCCTGACAGGAATGAAAGTGAAGAAGCTCTGAAGCTCCGGCCCCTCTGGCCCAGTGAGCTTTCACCCCACTACCTCTGTCTTTGCAGCTGCCTGTTTTAGTGATCAAAGATTGAGGAGCTCATGACTAGACAGCTTTGGGGATGAATACAGCTGAAGAGGCTATCTGGTGCTAGGGAAAGTGAATTTAAATTACCCACCCAAAGCAGGCCACACTAAGTCAAGCCTACACTTCGCTGTGGGATGTGACAGTCAGCTCATGTTTGCCAGGGAGGTGCACCAGTGCCCAGTGAGAGTGACTGTGGTGCAGCTGCAGAGAGAAATGTCAGCTGAGCGGCAATGAAAGTGTGCACCAAGTCCCACTGAGGGTTCTGTCACGCCTGGGAGCATGTGGTGCTGGCCTGTGATCAGATTTACATAGAGAGAAACGGGGCTTCCAGAAGCTCCAAGGGAGCTGAGAAGTTTTGTAAGAGGCTCAGCATGGTCACCTTCACAAGGAGGTAATAGTCACACGGCAGAATAGTCTTTTTGGTATGTCTAGCACTTTCTCTTTATGAAGGCGTTAAGCAAAGCAAATCACAAAGACATTTCTGTGTATCTTTAATTTCTCATGCAAAAAATGTAAAAAGATACAGTGTTAGGAATAAAAATGTTTGAATTTGAATATGCTATTGGTTTGATTTCATCTCAATATTGAATCTTTTCCTTTTTGGCAGAATCAGTACAAAGCTGACTATGCTGACTTCATGAAGGGTATTGGCTGGCTCCCTCTGGGCTCCCTGGAAGCTGAGAAGAACAAGAAAGCCATGGAGATTATCAGCGAAAAGAAGTACCGGCAGCACCCAGACACTTTGAAGTATTCCACACTGATGGACTCCATGAACATGGTTTTGGCCCAGAATAATGCAAAAATTATGAATCAAGTAAGTTTTTCAATAATGTAGTGTTTCATGTACATCAGAGAGAATCCGGTCTCCCTTTTATTTAATCCATAGGTTTTGCTAACTCCGTTCCGAGGGATCATATTTGAGGTTTAGTTTGGAAAAGGGTCTAGAGTTTTAAACAGAAATAATTCCCAATTAGCGCCCCCTCCAATGTCCAGTGAGATCTGCCTCTCTGACTGACATCACAAAACCCATAGGGAGCCTTTCTTGGAAGGTGAGTCAGTCCCACTTGTGTAAGGTGCGGCTGAGTAGAAGTTTGTGACACTGAACCAGCAGGGTGCCTGCAGACAGCTCCATACACGTGCGCTGGGTGAGCTCCTTTTGAGATTTTAAATCCTGCCTGCATTTTCCCCTAGCACCTCTACAAACAAGCATGGGAAGCAGAGAAGACCAAAGTCCACATCATGCCTGACATCCCCGAGGTTATCTTGGCAAAGGCAAATGCAATTAACATGAGTAATGTAAGTACGGTTCCCCTGTGGGCATCTTTCCTTCCAGCTTGTTTGAACCAGTAAACACAAATTTTATTAATCAGTGTCTCTTTCAATTAGAAGTGCAAATGTTTAAAAAATAATAGCGGAATCCACAAATGAGAATGGTTCCCTTTCTAATGTCACTCTGCTGAGAGCTGGGCCTCTCAGTGGAGGTTGGGACAAGTAGTGAGGACCTTGAAGAGTGGTTGGATTTTGTTCTGGGGCAAGAATTCATCAAACTAAGAGGCTTGGAAGGAAGAGAAGGGCTTGTGGCCAGGAAGAAATGAAAATGAAATGAAAGCCTCAGGGGCCCCCTGTCAGAGAGTTCAGCTGTCACCCTTGATCCGATCCCAGGAAGGGGTTAAAGGAAAGGGAAGACAAACAGTTTGGAGAAACTGGGGCAAGCTCTACAACAAGGAATGCGGAACGCGTGTTAGAAAGTGCCTTCATGTTTTATTTCATGTCTTGTTCTTCTCAACCATAATTGCTAGGAAATCCTCTGATCCTTTTCTTTTCTTTGTTTGAATTCCATGGTGATTTGGAATTGCTGAATTTTTAAAATTGTAGAATCTGCATCTTTATATGATTAAAAGCGCCTGTTATAATTCAGTGAGGTTTTCCTTTGATAAATGAAGATGGCTGTACTTCGGTTTTCCTTTAACTTTTACTTGATGAAGTACATCAGTAAGAGTCCACTTCATACCCTTAGTGTATATTTATAATCTGATAAAGATCAGTACCTTTTACTTTTGCTGGTGGCTTCTTGATGTTTGAATCTGTATAGTTCCCCCCCAACACAATTATATTACTTATGAGAGCATTCAGCCCCTGACCTACCAACAAAGCCTTCGACCTGAAATAGAAAGAATGCCACAGAGCTAGTTTACTGTTCTAGAGTAAACCCGGGCTTTCCTGTGGAGACGAAAACTGTTGCCCCTGCTTCTTTCACAGAAACTCTACAAACTTTCTTTGGAAGAGTCTAAAAAGAAAGGCTACGACCTGAGGACAGACGCAATTCCTATCAAAGCCGCCAAGGCCTCACGAGATATCGCGAGTGATGTAAGTGTGAAGGAAGGCAGTTGCAGGTTTCCAGTCAAGTAGAATAATAACAGCTGAGTTCTGGAAGCACGAGTGGGTGAAAAGTGAAGAAAAAGCGCACCTGTGAGCAGTAACCTCCCTGGGTCCTGCGTCTGTGTCTTAGTCTTGTTTGGGTGTTTCCACTGGCATTTCTGAAAAAAACCCAGAATGCTGTGTAGTAACCCCATAGGTCTTAGCTCCCTGCCTCAGGAGACCTAGGTGAACTTACTTTGAACTCTGTCTCCAAAGCTAGGGCTTATAAAGCCCTTCTGGGTGACAGGCCTGTGCTGTTCTTGTCTCTGCCTCTTAGGATCTGACAAAACGTGTCCTGCGGGGTTGTGCTGGGGCTGCTGATCCTTTGGGCTTGTGACAGTGATTTTTAACTAATCAGAGATTTTGCAAACCAGTTGTTAAACCGTTTGTCGCGTAACATCAGCTGCGGTGGGAATATTTATACTACAGCAGTTGTCAAACACTACCAATCAGTGCCCTCGCCCCACCCGGAGAAAGCCAGTGCAACACTGTCACAACATGTCTCTTGTAAGAAACTTCATTCGTTCACTTGGTTCTTTCCGCCAGAAGTTCACTCCCACCAGCACGTAATGCCTGGGGTGACGGAAGGAGCAGACCTCAGTCCTCGCTTTCTTGCTCCTCCCAGCTGTACTTTCCTCTTCCGTTTCTGGGTTCACTCTCCTTACCCACATAGCACCTCCACGCCCCTCAGTGTCCCGAGAAGGCTCCTCCACGACACTGACTTTGCCTTCTCCGGCTCCTCCTTCACGAGGCGATAGGCAGAATGAGAAATGTTCCAGGGATCATGATCTCCCCTCAACAGAGCTTGAGGTGCTAAATATTAAAAATGTCTTCCAAATTATGTCAGTTTAGAGACCCTTAAAAGTAATGGAGTTCCACAAATATCAAGCTACTCTAAAATTATACTGTGTATTTTATACTTGAACCCGTTCTCATCAGCAAATGACTGGCTGGCTGATTGCTCAGAGTAGTATTAAAACCCTTAGCTCACCTGTTAGTTTCTGTATTCTTATTTTTATAGTAACAGTGCATGCATCAGTCAGTGAGCACAGCACAGGGTCGTAATCTCTGGGTTCTAATCTTAGTCATTTCAGCAGGTCACACACCTCAGATTTCAGACTGTCATCATCTATAACATGGGGCAGTCATGGGAATTGTGCTGTTTACCTTACAAAGTATAGTTGTAAGAGTCAAATTACAAAGGTCAACGTTCAGAACATGCTTTGTTTACTGCAGTGCTCTGTATGAGTCGCTTTCAGTCAAGAGAATGGCTGCTTACACATATTCGCATTTCCTTCACAGTATAAATATAAGTACAATTATGAGAAGGAGAAGGGAAGAATGGTTGGTTTCCGCAGCCTTGAGGATGACCCCAAACTAGTCCACTCCATGCAAGTGGCTAAGATGCAATCTGATCGCGAATACAAGAAGAACTACGAGAAGACAAAGACCAGCTACCATACCCCCGCCGACATGCTCAGTGTCACGGCCGCAAAGGACGCCCAAGCCAACATCACCAACACAAACTACAAGCACCTGATTCACAAGTACATCCTCCTGCCCGATGCGATGAACCTTGAGCTGACCAGGAACATGAATCGCATACAGAGCGACGTAAGGCTGTCCTCCACTGGGCGATACGGTTGGCATGGGAAGGGAGAGCGCAGTCCTACATGCCCCAATTTTGCGTTTAAACTGAGGAGATAGAGTTTGTCTTTTCTCTTTATAGAACGAATATAAGCAAGACTACAATGAGTGGTATAAAGGCCTTGGCTGGAGCCCGGCTGGTTCCCTAGAAGTGGAGAAGGCCAAGAAAGCCACGGAGTATGCCAGTGATCAGAAATACCGCCAGCATCCGAGCAACTTCCAGTTCAAGAAGCTGACTGACTCCATGGACATGGTGCTGGCCAAGCAGAATGCGCACACCATGAACAAGGTAGGAGAGCTTCCTTTCCCTGAGGCTCTCGCAGGAGGAAAGTGCTAAGGAAATTCTGCTCAGGTCCACCACCTCCAGGCAGAGGCAGACAGTTCCAGAGCCTCTCCCTGTACCATTTTCTCATGCCCATCTCTTCTACTTCCTTCCCTTGCCCTTTTAGTTGGGGTAGAAATTACTTTGAATCTTTAGTGATTACATGTGAACTACTTTCAATCCATTCTAGCTGATGAAAAATACCTGAAACAATATTTTTAAAATCTGAGTTTGTTTTTTAAATATCTCTTCTGAATCATATCTTACTTTAATTTGTATTCACTGTTTCAAATTGAATGTATTTAAGTACTCCTTGTATTTATTTTTCCTGCTTCTCCTAAACAGTTATCAGACTTGAAGTATCTCCTTTTTTTCCCACTTTCTAGCATTTATACACTGTTGATTGGAATAATGATAAGACCAAGATTCATGTGATGCCCGATACACCAGATATTTTACAAGCCAAGCAGAACCAAACACTCTATAGTCAGGTAAAAGTATATGAATATTACTTTTGTGTTTTGTCATAAAACTTAAGAAACTTATAGAATGATTTTGTAATAAACAAATGATGCAAGTGCCACAGCAAAAACAGAAGTGAATGACTGTAATGGCTTAGCCTAGGGAGACTGCAGAGTGTAGCGAAGAGTGAGGGCTTTGGCTGGGCTGGGTGCACCAAGGAGACAGACACTGCATCCATTTCATTTATCTCTATGCTCACTGTGCTTGGTACAAAGTAGGAAATCGACAAATGTTGAAATAAAAAAAATTACATCAGACAAACTTGGTATGAGTGTTGGCTTTGATATTTAAAATTGCATATACTGGGCAAACTCTCTACCTGTCTAAACCTCAGCTTGCTCACTCCTAAGACTAGGACCACAGAAGTCCTATGACATTGGGTTGCTGTAAGGGCCAGGTGAGAAATTTCATGTGAGGCTCTGAGCACGGTACCTGGCACGGGGCAGTACAGGATGACTATTTGCTGATTTTGTTAGTACTAGTTTTCACTCAGAAAAACTAACTCTCTTTCATCCTTTACTTTTTTCACTTAGATAGAATATTGTGTTTGTGTCTGCAATAGTGAAGAGTAAAGTTAACAGGGGGCAGAATAGTACCTGTTACTTCTTTTTTTTTTTTTTTGTTTTTGTTTTTGTTTTTGTTTTTGTTTTTGTTTTTCTCCGGTACCGGGAACCGAACCCACAACCTTGCGCATGCTAGGCAGGTGCTTTTGCCACTGAGCTAAATCCCCAGCCCCAGTACCTGTTACTTCTGATATGACCACATTGTTGCTGAACAGTGAAGACCATGTTGAAATACAGCAGAGAGGGTCTCAGAGCCAGAATTAAAACAAAAATGAAGCTGGTCGCATGATACTAAGTCAGAATTTTCTCAGATCTACTAAAACATCTGTTTTGTTTTCATCCATATCTTTAGAGATGTGCTGGATGATGTTAGAACCTGATATTTACTTTCTACTTAAACTTTTGCTTAATAATGTTACGATTTTTAATATAGAAGGAAGAATGCCAATGAATTTCTTTAATTTTTAGAAACTCTATAAACTTGGATGGGAAGAAGCTTTGAAGAAAGGCTACGATCTCCCAGTTGATGCAATTTCCGTGCAGCTGGCCAAGACATCAAGGGACATCGCTAGTGATGTAAGTACTTGTTTGAGTTGTATAAAGATGTAAGTTTATCCAAATCAGGTGACTTAGTGTTGGAAACTATTTCTATAGATAAACTTTACTTTTGGTGTTCCCTTTGTCTTCTTCCACCCCCTTTACTTATCCAGAAGACACTCTTCTTTGTCCCTATTTGAACATCAAAAGTGCCAGATAATGAATCAACCTCCACAACCCGTGCCATATTTGGGAACTAACTGTTCAGTACTTTTTGTTTAGCCCTCCCTGCTGTATTAGTCAGCTTTCCATGGCTGTGACAAAATACCTTAGGAAATTAACTTAAAGGAGGAAAGGTCTGTTTTGGCTCCTGACTTTCAGAGGCTTCAGAGTCCATGGTCCCTTGGTGGTGTTGCTTCTGGGCCCATGGTCACGCGGAGCATCATGGCAGGGAACATGAGGTCGAACAAAGCAACTCACTGCATGGCACATAAGAGACAGAGAGAGGGAGGAAGGGGAGGAGCAAGTGAGAAGGAGAGCATGATTTTACAGCAAAGCTGCTCTTCCAAACTCACTGCGGCGTGAAGCCACCAGGCTTGACGAGATCAGTGCCTTCGTGATTCAGGCCCCTTGGGGAGGCCCCAGCTCTGAACACTGCTGCACTGCAGACCAACCCTTGAACATGTGAGCCGTTCCAGATCCGAACCATAATGCTCGCACTCACATAATTATAGGAAACTGGCTTGGGGTGTGGAAAATCCAGAAATGCTCAGGTGCTTAGATTCATGATCTAGGGGTCCCAACTCCCCTTTCTGTTGCATGTCTGGTCCAAAGTTCACAGAACAAGGACCCTTGTGCTCCAGAAGGCAGAATCAGTTATGATGCAAAGGGTAGTGTATACCTCTGGGGAGGAAACTAGCTATGGCCCTTTCTGAGTAATTACATTTTAGTAAATATTACATTTCATGTTCTGCCTAGACATGACCATATTGTTTAGTTGATCCCAAAAGTTAACCAGAAAAAATATCAGAGGATCTTAGGGAACACAACTTCTTAATCAAAATCTTTAAAACAATGACACAACAAGGATTTGGTTCAATATACACAGTGGAGAGAGTGCCTGAAGACAGGACCTGACAATAAATTCTAAGGGTACAAAGAGAGATTCTTTCTAACTCAATTACTGCATTTGAGAAATACTGAAAAATTAATTTGATGATATATTATTGTTCACGCTCTGGCTTGCAGGTCAATATCTCACTAAAACAAACCAATGTCATGGTGGAGCTAAAGCAATAATGGTTGATGTTCCCTGGAAAGTAAATTCATTTTTCATTTAGCATTGTATGCTAAAGATTGTTTAGGAACTGAAGAACCAGCGCCAGTAATTTATAAACAAATTATTTCAAATTTCCTTCTGATGCTATCAGTTAGAACCTACCTTAAAATTAAATTAACTGTAAGTGAACTTTCCCACCATTGTAGAGACTGTATTTCTTCTCAGTTTTAAATGGTTCTTGTGTCTATGAAAGTGCAGAAAATTAGAGCTATTTTTGAATATAATTTAATAACTTAGAATAATAGAATTTAGAGTTAGAAAATAAGACAAAGTTATTTAACCTAGTCTTTACTCACATCCTACCTTCTCTCCACCTCCAACAGTCTGTGGCCATGTAAATATCTACAGATTTAAGAATTTAGGGTTTTTCCTTGTTGGGCCATCTCTGACTGTCATTATATACTTCCTTATTGCAACCTTAAATACTGTACTAAAGCTCTAGCCCACTATTCTAGAACATCACAAAGTGGCTTCTTTCTACATCATATCTCTTCAAGCATTTCTAGTTCCTTATTTGTTTTGGCTTTAGTTTTTTAAGTTCTTTAATCTGATTCTGTTTTCTTAAAACTTCTTTTAAATTTTTCAAAATTTAATGTTGTCTGGTTGACATGGGAGGCCAGAGTAAAAGAGCTTCTGGTGGGTATTTATATGCACTCTACATAGAATTTATGGTAATACTTTGTACTGAGATAGGGTATGGTATGTAGTCCAGCCTGGCCTTGAACTCACCATGAAGCCCTGGCAGTCTTTGAACTCAGTCCACCTGCCTCAGCCTCTTGTGTGCTGGGATTACAAGCATGTACCACTCTGCCCAGCTTGCACTGCTTTTTTCTAAACCATTTTGTCAGATTGTCCATATTGAGGGTATAGTCAAAATCCTAAGTAGCTTTAAGATGCATAAATAGGAATTTGAGTATCATGAAGTAGTGGAAACTATTTCTCAAGCTATAATACATATTTAGTGCCTAACGTCAAATAAACTCCATTACGTTTATTATTTTTGCCCTCCAGTACAAATGTTATTTTCACATTGAACCCAAATATGTCACTATTATTCTCTTGAATTTATATAGTTCATTTTTATCCATTTGGTACTATAGTGAGCTCTTGTAGGATTTTATTTCTCATTAACATATTTCAGTTAATATGTTTATGCCATTGTGGCTAAGACAGAGACAGAGATCCCAAGCAAAACACAATTGTATGACATATGACAGACCTCTAAAAATCCTGCAATTGAATAAAGTAATCTACAGTTTTAGGCTTATTCATAAAGTCATGTACTTTCTTAATTTTTCTACCATTCAGCCCGTATTTTCCCCATGAGATTATCATTCCTGTAAAGAAAATTCTGAGATTAATAATATCCCTTAGTTATTGCAGGCTGATCAGGTCCACAGTCTCCCAAAGGAGTGCATGGTGAAGGCTAAATAAAAAGAGGCAAATGGAGTGATTTCAGGGCTCTGGGAGAATCAAAGTCCTCTCACAGAATTAGAGATTCTCTTAGGACTAAGACCAAAACCTTCTCTGGATGGCCCATATTTATTTGGTTATCAGAAGAAGGGAGGGGAGTACTCAAGAAGGGCAGAACCACTCAAGGATTTCTCCAAGTAAGGTATTAAGTTAATCCATCCAGGAGTGAGATGTCTGAGGCTACAGTCTTTATCTGGTTGAGATGGATCCAGGTGTCCTTGGCTGTGATCTTCTTATCCTTTGGAGCTTTCTGGCTTCATCAGCCATTACAGGCCTCAGTAGGGATCAGTAACTCACAGAGGTTCACTTACTATGAGTCCACTGCCCATCTCCAGACAAGGAGCCTAGGCCTTGGACAGACTCACAAGTAAACACGGAAAGCCAATTGGTTAATTTAAGTCCTGCTCAGGGCTGCTTCATAGTGGTCTCCATCAGAAAACAGCAGGACTTTATTAAATGCTATCCTAAACTCAGCATACACAGTTTCTAGCACATCCAAGAATATGCTTAAGCCTCTAATTGAACTAAATTCTCCTGATAACTTCTCTTGATACTCAGCTACCTTGTGTTGTTTGGAAGATTCTGCTTAAATAGGTGTTACTTAAACTAGATATACTTTCTCCTATTTGTTTGGAAAACAAATATGAAAACAAAGCAAACTGACCTTTGCTTCTGTTACTAAAAGAACCATGTTTCCTCCAATTTCAGTTTAAATATAAACAAGGCTACCGGAAGCAGCTTGGACACCATATTGGATTCCGGAGTTTGCAAGATGACCCAAAACTTGTATTGTCTATGAACGTAGCCAAAATGCAGAGTGAAAGGGAGTATAAGAAAGACTTTGAGAAGTGGAAAACCAAGTACACAAGTCCTGTGGACATGCTGGGTGTGGTGCTGGCCAAGAAATGTCAGGCCTTGGTTAGCGATGTGGACTACAAGCACTACTTACATCAGTGGACCTGTCTGCCCGATCAGAATGACGTTACCCAAGCTAAAAAAGTGTATGAGCTGCAGAGTGAGGTCAGTATCTATTAAATCCAATGGTTTACATATTAATTCATATTCTACATTAGTGGTTATTTAATAATAGAAAAACAAAAATGCAAAAGAAGAATTATCATTGAAGATCTAGAATGCACCTGCTTGCTATACCTAGAATCCCTTAAGGGAAGGGTGCAGGGAAGGGTGGGACTTTGATGGCTTGCTTTGTCCTTTCACAGAATTTGTATAAGTCTGACCTTGAATGGCTCAAAGGCATAGGATGGAGCCCCCTGGGTTCTTTGGAAGCAGAGAAGAATAAGCGGGCTTCGGAAATCATCAGTGAAAAGAAATATCGTCAGCCTCCAGACAAAAACAAGTTTACCAGCATTCCTGACGCCATGGACATAGTTCTGGCAAAGACAAATGCCAAAAACAGGAGTGATGTGAGTAGTTCTTTAGAAATCAGGGAAACAGACTGTGGTGCCTGCTACCTGAGTCGCTCAATAGCGTTTGCTTGCTGAGTGAGTCAACAGCAAACAGTACACTGTGTGCCCCAGCAAAATGCTTTGTATTGGCTTGCTTTATTTGAATTGGCAACGACCCTACACTGAATAATATAAAACTACTTTAGTATTAATTTTAGTCACCCAATACTTGCTTATTTATTTAACCAGAATGTAATGAAAAAGTTACTGAACATACATTTTTTTTCTTTGAAGTTTGAACTCATTAAAGACCTAGATTTCTTTGTCAGAATAGACAGAGTTTATGCAGGGCAGAGATTCAAAGTACCTTGCAAAAGCACAGTGGAAAGGTTATGAAGAGGGCGTTTTCTGACAAATGCTCAAAATGCGTATCATGCCGTATTAAGATAAATTGGTAATACTATAGTACAGTAAGTAAGTATATTTTTCATTTTTAACTTGTTTCTTTCTCCAGCACTGGTATCAGTGCTTGATATATAATAGGTGTTCAATAAGTATTTATTGAATAAAATAAACGAGAGGTAACAGTGCGGAATAATTTTTTTGTTTTGTTTTGTTTTGTTTACGGTACCGGGAATCGAACTCATGACTTTGCGCTTGCCAGGCAGGCGCTGTGCCGCTGAGCTAAATCCCCAGCCGCAGAATGATCTTATACAGAGAAGGAAATGATTACTTAGCATTACTAAAAACCTAACCCTGAATACTATGGAGAGTTGAATTATGTGCTCTGAGATTCTGGAACTCGGATAAGAAAGTTTAAATATGTAATAGCCATCTTCATCTTAGGAGGGTGTAACTATACATACTGTGTATACGATGCTCTAAATTTTACATAAATAGATGAAGAGATTTGTGTGATATGGATAAGCCCGTAATCAGTTTATACGCAGTAAGCACTGGTAGACTGGTTCTTCCTACCCAGCCTGAGCAGATGTTGCTGTTTTGTTTCTAAGTTATAGTAAATGCTGACCTGCAAGCTTCATTATCAACATCCAAGTATGCATTTTTTTTGTTGTTGTTCATATCATGGCAGTTTGAATGCAACTGATTGACTGGAAAGGCATAAAATCATGAAAAATATTTCTCTTTTCTTAGAACCCTAGTTTTTTTTCTCTCCAATGAAACAAGAGAGAAAAACTAAACTAATGGGGTGACCAACAGAGATGCTGTGTTGGTTACTTTTCCCTCGTTGCTAAGACAAAACATCTGACCCCCAAAATTTAGGAAGGAAAGGTTTATTTAGCTCACAGTCTGTGGAGGTTTCAGTCCATACTCCGCTGGCTACAAGGCAGGGTGGCACGTGGCAGAGGGCAACCACTCAAGGTGGCGCAACACAGCAAAAGTGACAAGCACAAAAGGGAGGAATGGCAGCAAGCAGCCTCTTCCTCTCCCTTACATTGTAAGCAGGCTCCCCCCACCCAGGGGGCGGCACTCTCAGAGTTAACCTTCTAAACTCCTCACACTGACACAATGAACAACATCCTAGAACAGGAAGGGCGTGTCCTGTACCAGGATGCTGAGTCACTTAGCCAAACCTCTACACTCCCCGAGTTGACACAATGTATCAACCATAACAGATGCCCTAGCTCATAAAATTGATCAACATATCCTGACAGTAAGTCTTAATTACAGGGATGCTGAAATTTGATCCCCCTCAGGCCTCAGGACCCTCCGGCAGAACTTGGCCAGCTGGGCTCCTGGAGCCTGCTGTTTCTTTTTTGGGTAGACTGATCCATCTATCCCAGTGGGGACCACATTAGGATTTTTTTTCTATATTCCATGAGATGAAACTGGCACACACCATTGAAGAAATAGTTCAGTTTAGTGCTGCTCCACCGGGGGACTTTTCTGTCATGGGAGATCTTGGACAGCATCTGAAAACCTCACTCTTTCTTTGTGTCCCGAGTCTCCCGAGTGTGGCCATACTCGGGGGTGGTACGCTGCTGGCCCCTAGTGGCTAAAAGTCAGGGATGCTGCTAAAAATCCCACAAGGCACAGGTAGCCCTTTCAATAATCATCTAGTATGTGACACCAGTAGATATGAGGCTAAGAAACTCTGATGTTCTTAATCGGAAAGGATGGTGTCGAGTGGAGGTAAACATAGTACATGAGAATTGACAGGCTTATCTCTGTCTGGGTCCTGAAAGTCTTAATCAGTTTATCTGAGTTGTAGGCACTGTTGTAATCTTGTTAAAAAAGAAGAAAAGTGCTGACCCATCTTACGCTCTACAATTCAAAAGGGAAATGACAAGGCCAAGGGATCCATGTTTTGTACTGGAATAATTTCAGTCACACATAAAAGGTAGAAAATAGTATGAATTTTATATCTATAAAAATATATATAATATATAAAATTTCACCCGGATTTTACAGACATTAATGCTTTAACACATTTACATTCTCTTGTTCTTCCTTGCTTCCTTCCTCCTTCCCTCTTTTTCTTCCTTTGTCCCATCTATGTCTATGTGAGAAAGAAAACTGCTTCATGATACCATTTACCCCTAAATACTTCCCTGTGTATCTTTTGAAAAGAAGAACATTCCCTTACATAGCCATGGTGGAATGATCAAAACCATGAATCAGTGTTGACACAATACTAGTTTGCAGAATTTATTCAATTTTACCATAATGTTCTTTATAGCAAAAGAAAAAAAAAACTTTTTTTTCTGGTCCAGGTTCTAATTCAAAATCACAGGTTGCATTTACTTGCTATGTCTTTAATTTCTTTTTCTCTGGACTATCTCCTCACTATTTCTTTGTGTTCCAAGTCTTTGACATTCATGAGAAGTACAGACCAGTTATTCTGTAAATCTCCTTCAGTTTGGTTCTCAGTGTATCCTTGTTACTAGATTCAGATTGTGTGCTTTCAGGTGGATACTATAGATTGTGTACTTCTTGGTATATCGTATCAGGAGGTACATGATACCTGTCACATTTCTGAGCATTACAACTTTGATCACTTGATTAAAGTAGTATTGCAGGATTTCTTCATTGACAAGTGATGGTTTACTTTTGTAATTAGTACATACCTTGTGGGAAGGTTTTCCAACACTGTGTAAATATCCTGCTTCTCAAATATTCACCATCTTGTTTTAGTAAACCAGTAAGATTTTTGTCTGTGTCTTCTCTTCTTATGTTCAAGACAGATATAAAAATGGCTTTAAGATACCCAAGAACATTTGATAAATTCCCAAACAATCCTTTTGAAAATCCTAATCCTCAAAAGTAATTATGAAGGGGGCTGGGGATTTAGCTCAGCGGCACAGCGCCTGCCTGGCAAGCGCAAGGTCATGACTACGATTCCCGGTACCGAAAAAGAAACAAACAAACAAAAAAAGTAATTATGAAACATAACTGTAAAGAGTAAATTATAAACGAAAAGAAACTCCCTAATTCCTAAGCTCACTTGGACTAAGTCTTCTTTTGAGAAAGCAAGGGCCATCTCTTAGCTAAACACTAGCGGGGACTTGCACAACCCAAAGACAGAGAATTCTGCTCCATTTGATAATACTGACAAAGGTTCTAATTTCATGCATTGACTTTAAAGGTAGAATTACCTGTAATTTTTAAAAAGGTAACTCAAAATCTATATTTTGAAAGACAGTTATACACCAGTCAAGAAAACCACATCTATTTTCTGCTTATGTAGCAACTGTAATGTTTAACGCAGATGAATCTAGTAATCCTGTCGGAATCCAACTATGTCATGTACTGATCTAACAAGGCCACTGAAAACTTTTTATTTCTCCTTTTAGAGACTTTATAGAGAAGCGTGGGACAAGGACAAGACTCAAGTTCACATCATGCCAGATACACCTGACATTATTCTGGCTAAGGCAAACTTAATCAATACAAGTGATGTAAGTCTCCACATTCAGCACGCGTTTTCAGAAATCTTATTTTAATTGCTTCTAAATCGTGAAGATATTTGGAAGTTCTTTTGAATCCCTAAATCACTTTGATTAACAAACTAGGAGTGCTTCTGGTTTGTTATTTAGTGGGTTTTAGATGAAACCTCAAAATGTTTGTACTCCCTCTTCCGGGCAGTGTTGGGGATGCTGACACTGTTCCTTGCATCCTGTTACTACATATCTCACCATAAAGTAATGGTTATATCACTCTTCCCTGTATGGCCAGGTGTTCCACGTGAGCCGAGACAAGTTTTACTGGCTCTGCAGTGCATGCCTGGTGTTGTGCCTGGCACATAGTAGTGACTCCATAAACTTCTGAGCAAGTGAGCATACAAAGGCATGCAGGAGAATTTCATTTTCATATTTATTGTCATCATAGCATAACCCCCTGAAATGTATGGATATAAACCTTAAATATTAAAAAAACAAATTCTAAACTCTGATAACATGACTTTAACATTAAAGAATGTATTAGAGTAATACTATGGACACTAAAATATAAACCCAGGTGCAAGATCAACAGGCATTTAAACAATCTGGTTTCTGGATTAAAGTGCATTTAAGTTATAGTCTCAATTATCCCATGATGTCACATATCTGAAAAACAAATAATTGCACATAAATTTTAGAACTTTCCTTAAAGTATAATGTTTTCAAAATTATGAAGAACTCTGTATTTTACCTATAAATGTCAATTCTCTTTTGCATGGCCCTGTGTCATGAGGCAGGCACTGTTTCACAATGCGTTAGCTACAAAAAGCAGTAGCCCTTTCCCACGGCTTTTCCTCTCTAGTGGAGAAAGATGGAAGGCCTCGCTCTTGTCTTACAACTTCCAGTGGAGCACTCAACGTTAATTGGAAAACAGCACCTAAATAATATTTCATCTGTCAGTTTATTTCTGCTGCATTCTCCTATGAATTCGGGAAGAGCTGGCATTTAATTTGGTGCATCTAGGTTAATCACAGTGCTCTAAAGTTTAAAATAGGATCATCAGAAATCCACGGGCATAATCTCCAATTACATTTGCGGAGTCTACAGCACAAATTCTAGTCTCATGGATTCCTAAAATATTTAGCACTTTTCTCTCATTATTCTGCAGTTGTTCATGGAGAATGTTTTTTCTCAAAATGATCTTCATCTCTCACCAGAAACTCTACCGAATGGGTTATGAAGAGCTGAAGAAAAAAGGCTACGACCTCCCTGTGGATGCCATACCCATCAAAGCAGCGAAAGCGTCCCAGGAAATTGCCAGTGAAGTAAGACACTAGCCCTTGTTGGTATTGATTTGATTGCAATTTATCACTTCATAGCAGTCTCAATTTAATTTTAAATTGAACAAAATCTTCTAAAGGGAAACAAATTAAAACAGAGGAAATGATCCCACCCTTGAAGCATAGGATGCGGATAAGATCAAGGATACATTTATTATGTATGGAATTTGTAGCTGAATTTAGCCTTTAATCTTTCCTATCAAAAGCCAGAAATTCATACCTCCTTATGCTTAATAAGATACCTAGAGTCAACGTGCTTTGTAATTTGCCACAAAAAGGGCACATAAGGTAATTCTGAAAGGAAAAAGACACTTTTTTTTTCTTTAGTACAAATACAAAGATGGTTACCGCAAGCAACTGGGCCACCACATCGGGGCCCGGAACATTGAGGACGACCCCAAGATGATGTGGTCCATGCATGTGGCCAAGATCCAGAGTGACAGGGAATACAAGAAGGACTTTGAGAAGTGGAAGACCAAGTTCAGCAGCCCAGTGGACATGCTGGGCGTGGTGCTGGCCAAGAAGTGCCAGATCTTTGTGAGTGACGTGGACTACAAGCACCCTCTGCACCAGTGGACGTGTCTGCCCGACCAGAACGACGTCATCCACGCTCGGCAGGCCTATGACCTCCAGAGCGACGTGAGTCTAAAGTTTTCCTTTGCTCAGTTAAATACTGTGACTGCTTTCCTAAGTATCAAAATTCCCCTAAGGTGAAGGAAGTTGAGTTTACACAACTGAGTTCTCCTTTCCTGGACTAATGCCCAAGCTCTACCCGGTCACCAGGTGTCTGAGGGCACCATTGTTCTGCAAGGGGTGAGGCAGCAAAGTCCACTACTTTGACGGAAGCAGTAAGACTGCTGATCTAGGAAACTGGAAAACTGAATCGCTGCCTACATGCTGAAGTGTTTTCCAAAGTATGCTTCTAACTGTATGTTTTCTTGATTTATAATTCATCCCAAACTTTTGAAATTACCCAAGAATGTAAGCATTAAAATATTATATGTGTGTATACATATATATGTAATATGTATATAGAGAGTTGTGTATGGATATAAATGCACTATAATAAAGTACTGTGTATACATAATGTATATATGTACATTATATATATGTATTACACATGCATTATATACATATTATATTGTATATAATATATATTGTATTGTAATATATAATATAAATTTTTTATTTCTTTTGGGACATATGCTTACAGTGAGTGGCTTCTCATTTGCAATTTCAGAATCTGTACAAGTCTGATCTTAACTGGCTAAGAGGCATTGGCTGGCTGCCTTCTGGCTCTCTTGAGGATGAGAAGAACAAAAGAGCCAGTCAGATTCTGAGTGACCATGTTTACCGTCAGCACCCAGATCAGTTTAAATTCTCCAGCCTTATGGATTCCATACCAATGGTTTTAGCAAAAAACAATGCTATTACCATGAATCACGTAAGTCCTTTCTTTGTGTGTGGACGGTATAGTTTCCTTTTCTGGGGAGGAATAAAATCTGTTTTTATGGAAGAATATCTTGGTTCAACTCGTTTGCTCACTACTAAAGTGATTTCAAAGTAAGTGTGGTGCTTCTTTCTGACACCAGACATCTAACCCTGAAAATGTCACGACTAGCAGCTCACAAAGCAGAATCTCTTCACTCTCACGAAGAATCAGGCCGTTCACTGCTGACTGCACTTGTCCTGTCTTATTGTTTGTATTAGCACCTCTATACAGAAGGCTGGAATAAGGACAAGACTAGCGTCCACATCATGCCGGACACCCCTGAGGTTCTGCTCGCTAAACAAAACACAATCAACTACAGCGAGGTAGGAAATCAATCTGCAGTGCACGGTATATTTTCCTTATGATTCATTTTACAAATCAAACTGAAGCTTACTTACATCTGTTCCAGAAATTATATAAGCTTGGCCTGGAAGAAGCCAGGAAGAAAGGCTACGACCTGCGAGCCGACGCCATCCCCATCAAGGCGGCCAGGGCCTCCAGGGACATCGCCAGCGACGTGAGTGCACCTGAGAAGCTCTTTGCTTTAGTTCTGGCTTGAAGATCACGTTCTCTCTCCCAGATTTACAGTGGAGAAAGTAAACACAGAGGTTAAAGCTGTGGTAACAGTTCACTTTGTCAGTAAATGGTATAAAATAATGGTAATAAATTTCTCAGCACCAAACTCGAGCTCTGGCTGAGTCCATAGCAACACATATTTCAAATATTCTGTATTTCTTGCTGGACAAAGCCACTGCATACTTGGCTATAATTCAGGTATCTTTTTGGCTGTTCCACACAATATGTTTCTTTTATACAATCAAACTTGTTGTAAGGTTCCTTCAAAACCCCATTCAGGGCCTACAAACGAACAGGAGTTCTAAGGTCCAAGTTCTACCATCCATGTAGACCATATATTTGTTTGTGCACCCAGGGATCAGCTACAAATACTTGCTTTCTTTAAAAGATGAATTTGCTCACATTTCTAAAAAGTTTATCCTTTATCTATGAGGTTCCAAAATATTTTTCTTTTATTTTCAAAATATGGGAAATAATTGTCATAATTTTAAAATATATGATCCACAGAGAAAGGTTAATTGTATTAATATATATCCATACAGCGAAATACCTGCTTCTATGAAAAAGAATATTTAATGATGTAGAAAAATGCTTGTATAATAGCTGAAAAGAGCAGAAGAAATCAGATAATGTATGACTCATGTGCTAATTTTATTCTTTCTCTTTCATACACACACACACCACAAAACGTTGCCTTTAGTAGTAGAACTATGTGTTAATTTTTCCTTTTTTGGGTGCATAGATTGCCTTTATTTTCTAAATGGTATTATATATTATTTATATTCAAAGAAAATAATTATTTTTAATGCTTAAGAATTGCTTTTACCAATTAGATTTACCATATCTAAAGGATATGAGCAGCAGTCTTCTCTTGTTCTAGTACAAGTATAAAGAAGGCTATCGAAAGCAACTTGGTCACCATATTGGTGCTAGAGCTATTCATGATGACCCCAAGATGATGTGGTCCATGCATGTTGCCAAGATGCAGAGTGACCGTGAATACAAGAAGGACTTTGAGAAGTGGAAGACCAAGTTCAGCAGCCCAGTGGACATGCTGGGCGTGGTGCTGGCCAAGAAGTGCCAGACCTTAGTGAGTGACGTGGACTACAAGCACCACCTGCACCAGTGGACGTGTCTGCCCGACCAGAACGACGTCATCCACGCTCGGCAGGCCTATGACCTCCAGAGCGACGTGAGTACTGACGGTCATAAGCGTATACAAAAGTGGGAAATTAGTAAATTAACTTTGTTTGTAGAAGCAGCAATAGGTACACCAAACTCAGCAGCCCTACAAGTGGGGGCCGGAATAGCATGTCTGCTTTCCTTATGATCGTTAATCCTTTAACTCTCCAGGCAAAAGGAAGTATTGTCTGAACCCTGTTTGCCTACCAAACTGTATTTTAGTGTATGTGCTGCTGAAGTGAGCACCACCAAACTATAGAGAATGCTTCTACTTGATTTTATGTCCCTTGGAGAAAATGTATTCCCAATGCAGGGATCAATATTTATTGACTATTTCTGTTAACAGAATATATACAAATCAGACCTGCAGTGGCTGAGAGGCATTGGCTGGGTGCCCCTTGGCTCTTTAGATGTGGAAAAATGCAAAAGAGCAACTGAGATTTTGAGTGATAAGATCTACCGGCAGCCTCCAGACAAATTCAAGTTTACAAGTGTGACTGATTCTCTGGAACAAGTGTTGGCCAAGAACAACGCCATCACTATGAACAAGGTGAGGCTCCCCATTCAGGCAACGAAGACAGGAGTCTTGAAGCTGAATCAAAGAAAAGCGTAACTGAGAAAAGAAAGGCGCAGAGTAGTGAGCAACAAAAGCTGCCTGTGGTCCACCTCGGTATCACCGGGCCTTGTCTTCCACATCTATCACCTGTCCAAAACATCTCACTCATATTTGAATGTTTATGTCAGTTATTGTTTCATAGTTTTGATAAAATGTCATATTTTATGGGAAAAATAGTCTTTTTATGAGAGATGTTTATTTGTAGTTTCCTTTCCATTGTTAGTATTTTTAGATTTACAGAAGGCACGTCTAGCATCTACTCCACGGTGAACTGATTATTGGAAGGTTTATATAAAATACATAATGTATGTAAAACACCATAACCTTGTCTTTTGTTTGTTCATAAGGTTTTATGGCCCTAAAATTCCTATTGTTTACACGCTGAATTTTTTTGATGGTGTTAATATATTTTCTCTGATAGCGCTTGTACACAGAAGCCTGGGACAAAGACAAGACCCAGATCCACATAATGCCAGATACACCAGAAATTATGTTGGCAAGAATGAACAAAGTCAACTACAGTGAGGTGAGAGCGGTTGCTAATTCTGTGACATTTTCACGGTGTTTCTTACCTCCGCTGATCTGCTCCACCGCGATGTGACACCAAAATGGCAGCTTTCAATAACATTTGTTCTTGCTTCATATGAAAAGTGACTCTTAAGTTTCTGAATCACCATCATAAATGTCCACTTTTAAGTAAGAAGAATTATCACTTAGGGGAGTGAATGATTTAAGAATTACCTGATTTCAGCACCAACCATAAGAGCAAGTAGATTGCTATTTAATTAATTTTTGAAATGAAAGTAGCAATATACCAATACACATGCACGTGTCTCCCACTGATGCTACAGCAAAGCTTTAGCTAACATATTTTCCATGTATAATATATTGTTCTTAAATTGTAGCTTAGGGTCAAAATTTAAGATTTTTTAGTGTTAAAATTATAGTTAAAGACTAAAAATGACAGTACCAACAAATAACACACAGAATGTGGATGAGAATCTGCCAGTGAAATATTACCAAACCCATGGCCTCCTGACTTCTGGTGAGCGTGAGGCCAAGTGCCTCCGTACTAGAATCCCAGGTACTTAGGTAGAGAGGTTCCTAAGGTCCTGTCCCTTCTTCCAGTACAGTAATCCCCACTCAGCAGGTTGTTCTGCCTTTGCTTAGGAGTTCCCGGTGACAAAGGCCTCATCTCGTAAGTCAGTCCATTTGTCCTGGGAAATCCTGCTAGAACATGCTCCTGAGGTACTCAGTCACTTCTCTCTCAGTAAAGGCACACTGTCCTCTGAAGCCAGCAGAATCAGTCTGTGCCCACCCATCAACACAGACATAGCCACCAGGGTCCGCCCCTTTGGGGCCCCACCCTGGGTTCTCTCTGAAATGCACAAACTTTCCAAATTCCTGAAATGCCATTCCTGGGAAAACGGGACTCAGAACTGAAGAAGATACTGGGAGTGAGGACTGGCCAGGGGAGAGTTCAGCCAGCTGTCACAGATTCTCTTCTGGCCAGCTGACATTCACTCTGCATCCTGTGCTTCCGGGGCACACTGGCTGCTGTGTCACTGCCGGCGCCTGTGAACTTGGGAACTCCCACACAGGTAGCATGAGCTAAAGCTCGGTTTCTCCTGTCCTTCCCTTATGCATTTAGTGATTTAAATCTTGGCTCAACTATTGACATTTATTTCTGTGTAATTTCTTCTTAGATTGAGGCTGTGGGTGTAAAGCTGTGGAGATTTTTGTGAATCTAAGATTCTGTGAGCGGGTGGACCCCCAGCTTTGAGCCAGCAGCGAGTAAAATGTTTCTGACAGCACAGATCAACAGAATATTCCTCTTCTGTTGGATATAACTTCTGGAATTTGGCTAGAATAAGACCATCTTTAGTAATTTTATTTTAGAAATGCAGATTATAATTTTGTATAACTAGTCCTTGCCACCAAAAACTGAAAACATTAAATCCTACTCTCAAATCAGAAAGGATTGAATTAGCTAAACTTACACTAGAGTTCCCTAACTGTTACAGGAAGGCAAACGTTGCATGTGCGGGATTGTCGGGAGACAAAAAGCCCCTGTAAGTCTCCACCCGGCATTTCGGGAATTTTTAACTCTGTCTGCTGAAAAGCTTCACAGGGCCTGAAGCATGGCTCCTAGTTCAACCAGGCCATACCCCGACTGAGCGCCTGACCTGCCCGGACTCCTCTTTCCGCTGACTTACAGAGTTTAATTTATTTGTGTGTCCATCCCATCTAGAACAGGAAGACAGCAGTGCAAGTTGTTATGTCGCTCTTTCCCCTTAAAGACTTTTGTTGATTTCTTATTTTCTATAGAATCAAGCAGCAAATTCTTAAAGTATTTCTGGCTCAACTCGAGGTTCTTTTCTGTCCGCTCTCACCCCTTCTCTCTAGGGCTTCATCCCACCCCCTCAACAGCGGCGCCCATCCGTGTCCCTGTGCGCGGACCCACGTAATTCTCTCCCTGGGCTGGAGGCTAGCTCATTGTCCAAGGCCGGCTCAAGGTCACACTCAGCAGGACTCCCCGGGTTCTTGGTTCAGAATCAGTGACTGCGTTAATGCGCTTTCCTGCTGCTGGCCCACAGTGCTTGACACCCACAGCTTAACACAGGAGAGGTTTACTCTGGGTCTGAGTTCAGCCCACGGCCAGCGCGGTGGAAGGGCGCAGCGGAGTCGCGCCGCGTGCGCTTTACCAACGCCCCAGTTCAATGGTCATAGACGCTTCCTGAAGCTCTTTGTTGATAATGTGCTCAACGACCTCCTGCGGTTTAATTCTCAGCAGTCGGTTCTATGCATGCTCAGTCTTTCGTTCGTCTAACAAACACTTTAAAGCTGAGAGCTCTGCCTTTTAGGCACCCAGCGCTGTCACAGGCCACCCTCAGCTCTGCCTTTCAGGCACCCAGCGCTGTCACAGGCGCAAGGTCAGGGGAGAATAGGTATGAGTGTAACTAATTCGCTGCCATGAAGTGTTCCCTTCCTGCTCTAGGTCTGTGCGTTTCCGTTCATTCTCTTAAATACTTTCACCCTGGATTGCTTTAAGTAAAATTTTTAAAACAGCATAAATTTTCATCAGTTCAGCATAACTTATAAAATAAAAACCAGATCAGCGGCCTTCATAGGTATCCTTTTTATTTTAACAAAAATCAGAAGGCTTAGAACTCCCAAAATGATATTCTTGTGGGCACTCGCAGAGAATTTAGTGAATTGTTTAAATCGTCTATCGACTTTGTGGTATAAATGTCAACATTTAACTTTCTTGGCCCAAATTTAGAGTCTGTACAAACTTGCCCACGAAGAAGCCAAGAAGAAAGGCTACGACCTGCGAGCCGACGCCATCCCCATCGTGGCGGCCAGGGCCTCCAGGGACATCGCCAGCGACGTGAGTTGTCCGTCCCACTCCCAGGCTGTGAGCGTGGGGTGTGGCATTTTTGCTGAACTAAATCTTCACAAAGGACCTTTAAAAAGGGACTTTTGTGGCATTTTTCAGAAAATCTAGCTTTAGGGGAAATAGCAAACCTGGTAGTCGTAGAGAAGATTTGCAACCTGTAGGGCACAGTGCCTTCAGGGAAAACCGGCTTACCGGATAAGACCCAGTCACACACAACCCGCTGGAGTGCAGCTGCAGGCTTGGAGCTGTGGATACTCACAGAAAAGTTTATAGGAAGTGTAACGCCGAATGATTTGCCCTTATGCACCACTGTAATATGCAATGTTTAAAAAATGCACATGACACTTGCTATTACAGTTCCTCCCGTAAGATTACGGAAAGCAAGCAGTTGGTCGATATTAGAGGGAGGCTGCTTGTGACTGCAGTGCCACCTTTGGAGGAAAACCAGCACCCTCTCCTGGTGCTTCAAGGATTCTCGAGGAACAGACGACTGCTGTAAAGATCAACCCCTCCTCAAAGAAGATGGGGAAATTAATTTTGGAGGGGGGAGAGTGTGCATTACTGCTGCAACAGTATACACCTGAGGAATTAAAGACCTACATGTAAAAAAAGAAACACTTTCATATTATTAGAATAAATCATAAAAGATCATCTTTTTCACTTAGGGGCAAGGAAGCCTTATTTAAATGAGACATAGAGGGGCTGGGGATTTAGCTCAGTGGCAAAGCGCCTGCCTGGCAAGCGCAAGGTCATGAGTTCGGTTCCCGGTACCGGAGAAAAACAAAAAATAAAATAAAATAAAATAAATGAGACATAGAGTCTACAAATCATAAAGATTTTTACATAAAGAAAGTTTTACAAATCAAAAACCTAAAATTCATATAGCATACAAGTTACCATAGGCATAAAAAGCAATCATCACACTGATAGCAAACATTTTAAATACATGGAAAAAGAATTAAAATCCATTGCTTCTTGGCCTTTTGGCTAAGATCAAGTGGAATTAAAATCCAGCATTTACAGACCATCTACAAATCTACAGCAAGACAGAAAAATGACCCAATAGAAAAAATAAACAGTGGATATAAATGCATAATTTACAAAGTAGAAAAAAATAAAATGACAAAAAACATGTAAAAAGATGTTCAACCCCCGGAGCATTCAAGGAACTGCAGATTGAAATGCCAAGGGAATAGTATTTTAATCATCAGCTTAGCAAAAAAAAAAAAAAAGTGATCCCAAGTGCTAGTGAGGGGTGTGGAAGTGGGCACACCCATGTAACTGCTGGAAGAGCATTTCATTATTAGTACAAGCACTTTGGAGAATGAGTTCACGGTGCTCACCAAAGCAGAAAGTGTGCATAACTTAAAACCTAGTGATTATGCTTCTGCATCAGTGCTGAACAAATACTCACAGGTATATATTATGTGCAAGCAGGCTTAGGAATGATCATGTTTTGAAAAAACAAAATAGTGGCGTGATTAAGCATAATGTGGTATAACAATAGAAGACTTTGCTGCAGCAAAAGTTGTGAACCAGATTTATGTCCATCAGTGTATACAAATGGAAAAACATTGGAGTGAAGAAAATAGTTGCAGAATGTAAAATACCTCTTTTTCTAAAAGTGCACACCCCAAGAAGTACTGCCTATTTCCTGTGGATATACCTATTGTAATAGATTTTAAAATATTTCTTAATCTGTAGGTTCTGCACCAAAATTATAATAGTGGCTACTTATGAAAATAGAAGGGCAAAATTACTGGGTCAATGAAGACTTTAGATTATTTTTTATAACTGGTAAGGTGAATGCACTTGTGCAGTAACATAATAGTCCTCCCTTAGTACCACATTAGTGACTCTTGAGCTTGTGCGTCTTATCCTCTCTTTACCCCCAGCAGATGTACTTATGTCAATAATGATAAGTAATTAAATAACAATCAAAAAGTATTAGAACTCTGTGCTGAGAGCTTTTCGCGCATTATCTCCCTCTGCATAATTACCCTGGGCTTCGATGTCATTATCCACAGTTGTGAACTAAGAAACTTTCCTTTAAAAATCAGTTTCAGTGGGTGGAGAGTTGAGACAACAGCGTCATTCCTTTCCACTGTGCTGTGTTCGCTCCTGCT